GACAGGAGTTTGGCGCAGCTAGCGCGACCCTTCGGCCGGCTTGCGGCGCAAGCGCGCACGAATATTTCACCCCTTTGCAACTCCTCGATTGGAGAAAGCTCCCGTGCGCGCCGTACGTCAGAGGGTGAATCGCGGTTACGTCATTCACCGCACGCACACGAGTTTTGGATCGATCGTTGAAACGATGACGTCACAAGTGGCGGGATTATTGTTCATTTCGAAAGGTAAAGGAGGGATTGTTTGAACAAATTTATGTTCCGAGTGGATAACAAGCAAAATATTTATTGCAGCCTTCATTTCCTTTTTTCTTCAATCAAATGCCAAAGAAAGAATTCATCTAATTCGAGCGTGAAAAGTGAATTACACTCAAAGATAACATTGTTCAGTAGTAATGTAGTAGTATATAGGAATCGCATCTCATTTAGATGTGATAAAAGATCTGTCTTGATTTTCTTGCTAAATAAAAATTGACTCGGCCAATAAAACTATTTTGGGGAAGGGAGAGGGGGTAAATCGCTTTTAATAATAATCACTGATGATCGTCAAGTAGCCGAGTTTTATTAACACGTTACAGTTAATCGATATACGTCCATTAGTATGAGATTGGAGATGAAAAATACAGAGACGTCAATCCCTTTGTTGTGGAGTCTCTTGAGGAGGATAAAAGCTGCTATGCGACACAATATTTGATTTGTATTCTTGGATCAGATTATTCAGATTATTGGAATTCAAAAAATTATTAATGAGGAAAAGAAAAAAAAGATGCACGCCTATATACACACACGCGTGAGGTGTCTCGGCCCACGTGAAAAGACCCACGTCGCGCCAGTGACGTCATATGTCTGCGGAACGATCGCAGAGAGCTGGTATGTTGCCAGATCCGATTGCACGAAAATGTAACTGAACGTTCATCTTATTATCCCAGATGCAGCTGACGCGACGCTTTGAAGAAAAAATGGTGTGTACTCGCGCGTTAATCATTGACACACATTACACGCAATTTACTTATTGTAATTAAATTGATATCATCACGTATAGCAACGTATCTTGACGTTTGAAGAGTTGTTCCGAGGAATAAGTTTAAGCAGATAACTGCTCGAAAGAATGAATTTTGTCGAGACAAATGTTGAAATTAAATCTATATACATGTATCTCTGTCGGAAATAATGAAAAGTTTTTGAAAACTAGTTTCTCTTCTACTTTCTTTCACTTCTCTTTCTTACAAAAGAATACTCCAAGAGAAATCAATTACATTCAGTTGATAATTTATTATACTCTGCTACTTATTTTATTGATCTCAATACTCGATATGCATATCAAATAACTTCTTTACTGCGTTCAATCTGTCATCGAACAAATGGAAGCGCGACTGTAATTGATACGATGACGACACATTAACGCGTAATTAAGGATGTTTAGTACCTATTTTTGAAATATTAGGAATGTAACAAAAATTTTACAGATTGTTCTTACATATGTTCGGAGACTTGTGACAAAATCCGGAGTCGATTCACTGAAGCAATCAAAAGTTATAAGGATTTTAATTTGTTACGAATTTACCCGTGACTTTATGGAAAACGTGTAACCGTGTTGATTTAAGTGGCTAAAATGGATAGAAAAAAATTTTTTTTGTTGAAGAAGTTTCTTTTTATACACTTTTTTGGTCACTATTTTTCCTTTCCATCGATAAGGGCCTACTTTTGACATTGTGGATAAACACAACTAACCTTTATCCGCACGTCAAGCATAATTCAGAAAATTCGAAAATTCTCAGAAAAAAAACAACAGAAATTTAAAAGTACATTTCTGCACTCTATATATGAATAAATGATAAGATTCTGTGCAATCTTTATTACTCAAACTATATGAGAAGAGTATATATTCGTCAAAATCAAATTTCAGCAACTTTTTGCTACGATTGTACGTACAAACATCCTTAAAATCTTTGCGGTTGTATACGATAACCTATAAATACATACGTGACGAGTCCATTCGTTGAACTGGTTACTGGAACGATTATGAATTCGATTTACATATCGTTCGTTTTTATTATCGAAAAAATTCAAATAAATCCTTGAACAGGACTGTAAAGTAGTCTACGCAAATGCCCAGCAGATAAATATCTCGTGCAGCGAGACACCGCAATCCTCGCTACAGCTTTCGTCAGATAAAGCAATCTTTTCTCGGCGGGAGAAGATGGGACAGGTGTGACGTGCCTCTGTACACACCCACTGAATCGACCAATGGCACACCACTGCGATCAAGTGTTCCTCATCGTATAGCGTAAGCTCCAAGAAGCAAGACGACGCTCAGTTATTCTGTTAATGAGTCATATTACGCCGGTTCTCTACATGTTCCCCCTTGATAACTAACACACAACTAATGTAATCGCGTAAATAGAAATAAAAAATGCGTGAAAACCCATGATGAAATCCATAGATTCTCTAAAAATAATTTAACAGATTTTAAACGCTTTGCAGAGAATCTCATAGTAGTTATCACGCGCGCGCCCATATATTTACGTCACCATAGACACACGAAAGAAAATGCAAATCTGTTGAGAAGAACTCGAGTGCAACGCAGCACGTGCGAATAACCTTGCGTGACATCGCGTCAACTTTTTTTCTGTCAAACTGTATATGATGTTACATGATATGAGAATAAAAGAAGCAATGTAATAGCAACCTTGCACGCAATTGGCATATTATCGAGTGTCAATGTCGCTTGTCGTATTTTTCGAACGATATGCATCGCTTAATTAGCCGCGATATACGCACTGGGGGCATATTAATCTTAGAATGCTTAGAATTCCATTAAACTCGGGTCAAATGCGAGCGAACGTACATATAGACGCACATGACGCGTATTGCGTCAGTCGCGAATAAACTTGGTCGATTGTGTCTTGCATCCAATGGCGTAACTGATATTTCTAATTGCTTGAAAGGAAAAAAAATATGGAAAAGAAAACAAGAAAAAGGAAAGGGAAGGACAAGGGCAACAAAGAAGAAGAAGAGGAGGAGGAGGAGAAGAAGAGAATATAGAAGGTCGAAAAAATAAGATGATAAAATGAAAGGAAATAAAAAGGAAACGGAAAAAAGAGAGACAATGAATTGATCGTGGATTAATTTAAATTTAAATTTTCTGTTCATTAAACTATTACAAGAAAGATGGAAAAATTAAGAAATATTTCAGCAGGATAGCTCTCTCAATGTGTGTGTGTGTGTGTGTGTGTGTGTGTGTGTGTGTGTGTTAGTTAGTTAGTTAGTTAGTTACGCCATTGGTTGTGACAATAGAAATATCGGCGAAATTATTGATCGCGGTTGCGAGGATCGAATCACTCGTGACGTAAGATCTCTGTATGCTGCGCATCGTTCAACGACAATAGGGGCACGAATGCAGGCGCCTAGCTGCAGTTCTACTTCTCCGGGTCAATCGCGCAATTTCCCCCTTCAAAGAGCGAGAAAGTGAAATGTAAACATCGTCGCTTGAGTCCGCTAAAACTGTGATCACGTAACTCCCTCGTACAATGAGAATCGATTGAATAAGCATCGAGTGCGATTTAATGCTGATGGTGAAAAATGAGAAGCGGAAACATTCATCGATAATTGCACGACTGGCCTTCGGAAAATGATGATTAGGTTCCGCATGAAGAGGGATAAGTATGGAGAGATGTAAAAAGAGTCTCTATGACAAATTATGCGACACGAATGGAATTCTTGCCGAGAGTCCAACGTGATAATTATCAAGACGTCGGCGGTCTATATTCTGGGAAAATTCCTAAGCGCACAAACGTGCGTTTGCACGTCCATTAAAACAATTGACAATGTTTGACGGACAGTTTTACGTGAGTAGCTCCACACGAGAGAAGTCACGGTCTTATTCTCCTCTCGCTAAGAGTACACTTAATTTATTTTAACACACACTACGCTAATCGCGCCTAGTATATTAATGATTATTATATTAATAATTTTTTGATCCTTTAAAAAGTTATACAAGAAAATTTCTTTGAAGAAAAATTTATTAGCCAAAGCAACGTGCCGCGATATAAACCAGCTAAATTAATTTAACAAGCAAAACAGAAAACACTTGTGATGTCGCACAAAAAATAGCGTGACGAGTGTTAAAGAATATTGATTCGAAAAGAGAGATTATCGATGTTCCGACAGATTACGCGTTAAAGTAACGCGTTAAATGCGTGTTACTTGTACGTAACGTGTTACACGTGTCTTGGACACGAGACATGCTACCTCGTAAACAAAATTAAACTCACGACGCGACGACTGCATTTACAATGTCCGAGAAGCGTGTGTGTATGCGCGCGCGCGCGCGTCCGCCCACCTGGATTCGAATAACCGCGATTTCGACAGCCTTCTAAAAATAGCGTGTTTTCTTGCTAACGCACGTTTTTCAATATAGACGTTCATTCCCATTCGCAGTTCGGCGCTCCGTGCAAAATATGTATGCCGTCTGGCACGCTGCGACGACTAGCTACTATATACAACGCTCGTATCTATCGTTATGCACAAATTTTGCTGTGATAATGTCTTTCGATAATAAACGAAATGTTTTTAAAACTCTCTTTGAAATGAATGACAATTTTTCACTTTTGCTTAAATAGTGCTGATACTGTGATCTGCTTAAGAAAGAATTACCCCAAATCTTTGCTCTTCGGAACAAATGTAGAAAACATTTGATATTCAAACAATTGTCTCACAGAGCACAGACGTACACGTATAATAATTTCCAGCGACATTCAATATTCAATTCCTATTTATAAATCAACAAAATTTAAATGAAATCAAGTCATTGTCAAGCTGTTCCTCGTATGAGATGTCAATCTTGTTAGGTACATCGTTTAATTCACGTAACGTTTTAATCTTGGAACGTGTATTTTTTAGCTTTACGCGAAGCAACAAACTCTTTGCTCATTCGTTCGTTCAATGAACGCGTCAAGATGAGAACTTACCTTTCTCGCCGAGAGCGGTACGGTGGTTTCCCTGGTGTATATCGGAACGTCGAGGTCGCTGACGCTGCTGCTGATACTGGGTGCACGCGAATCGGAACGTCCACCGAGCGGCACGGTGAGATGCGTCGGTCTCAGCGGGTGCGATTCCGCGATATAACCCTCGCCAAAATCCTCGTCTTCTCGTTCCATCTGTCGGAACCGCAATTTCGCAATTAAATATAAACATCATATATCCAGCTTTTTAAGATTTCCTGGCTAATGCAAAATTCAATTAATACGAGAGACAAGACAAGAATATACAATAATTTTTTCATCATTCAATTATACATATATTTTTATCAATTTCATATAAAAATTTATTATTCTTTCAAAATTTTCTTGCTTTTTTTTCAAAAGAGAAAAAGAGTTTAAATTGATACAATTTTAAAAAGTGTGTGCACACATTTTTTCTAATTAGCTATATCTCTGAGATATATTTGCTATAATGTTAACAATTTGTCAGTTGCGCACATTCAACTGTACGATTGGACACACGTATTGCAATTGTCAGAGAGCAACAATCTGATAATTGTACCAGGTTTCACCATTACTGTCAATTTTCATCATTTTTTGCGTCGTACGTGATACACAAAATTAGCACAAGTAGCATGACAACGGTACGCTTTCCCTGTCAACTATTTGGCCGATGATCAAGGCTAGTAACCCGATGACACACTCCTCGCACCCGCGTATCTCTTTCTTCTCAGCCTACGACCATTCAGGAATGATCAAGCGATGAGAAACTTGGCCTGAAATTGTTTCGCCAGATCCATTTTCTACGTATCATCGCGTTATCAGAATGTTTTCTTATCTCTAGCTGAATAGATTTGATTGATTATAAATAGAATTACATAAAAATATTACAAAAAAAATATTCGATAAACATCTCAATCAAATTTTAATTTGGTCAAAAAGATATCGGAAAATTGACAGTACGTAAACTTGGATGATTACGTAGTCAAGCATTCTCTTATCAGCAAATCTAGTCAAACAGTGATATTGGCGTTTATATTCTACAGTGTCCTGCTAATTTTACGCGGTAAAATTAAACCGATTAAACTGAACCTATCAAATAAACCGAACCTAATCAACACGATAAACGGGAATGTCACAGAAACGGTAATCCTTGCATTGTATTTAAAATCGTAAACTTGAACTTTAATATAAGAATTTAATAAATACTTTAATAAAAAGATTACCTCGATGAAGAACACAAGGTAGTCAAAGGTGTTTTAGTTTGCGCGAATTTGGTGTTACACGGAAAATCCTTTAACAATCGACGGAGAGATCTCAAGGGTGCGAGTCGAGCGAAAAGAGAACGAGCGATTCGCGAGAAAGGAGTCGCGAAGAAGGGATGCTAGATCAATCGGCGACCGGAATGCATCCGTGCAACCGGGGTGTGCTCTTGAGACTGAGCTAGAGGACGCGACGACTCGCCACGACGTCGCCGTCGCAGACGACGTAGTCGACGGCCTCTGGCTAGATTTAATTTTAACGCTTCACGTACACGCCTTCGTTTAGACGAGCCTCCGAGTTTCGCCGAGAAGAGAGAAGTGTGTACGCCCTCTTACCCCGCCACCTCGATGACGCCGTCTGTTGATACGCTGCGAAACTCGTTGCAATTGATTTCACTTGACCTCAGGATATGCATCGCACGTTTGATCGGCTCCTGGAAAATGCAATCGACTTGCAACTGTGTTCATGTTCTACAATGTCCACAATATCCGTATTTATTTAGAAATAAAACTGGAAAAACACAAAAAGAATTAGTTGGACTGCAATTATCTTAACTAAACTGGTTGTAATGATTTTATCGTACACAATGACGTATATTGAATTATACAAGTAAAATTGCCTTAAATACTTATTTTATTAAGATATTATAGATAAGAGAGATCTCTCTGATTTCTTCCATCATTGTTGTATAATCATTATATTTTACAACATCAATATATATTATATATAATTATATATTATATATTATTATATATAATTCAATTTTCAATATAACAGATTACTTTTAACATTCTCCTATTTTCTTCCTATATTTAAATTTCATATATGTACTCTTTCAATTCTTTTTCTGTAATATCTTCAAAATACGACGGCATCTTACTTCATATTATCGATATAAATAAAATGTATTGCAATTTATACACATTACAATTGCGTCAATAAAATATTTACACCGCGACATATGTGAGTGGACTTCCTTCGCATCTATTTCAGTGTTATGTGGCTCATTTCGAAGCGCGTGATGTGTGTAAATAATAAACTATATACAACTAATGTCTCCTCAATAACTGCACACATGAGACTTGTGAATTTTCTCTTTAATCACCAGTGTTTTATTTCAGATCAATCAATGTAATGTAACCATTGTACATCTATATAGGATGTCTGAGAGAAACATATTAGAAGTTTATAATTTAAATGTTAATAATAAATTTGGTTATTAACTTTAATGTGTGTAGTAAAAAAAATTTCAAACTTTACTTATCAACATTAAAGATTAAATCCCTTAATTAACAACATTTTCAATCAATATTTTGAAAATGCAAGACTTTTAAACTTAAAACAAAGAACGAAATTTTGTTATCAATATTTTCAGATCTTGAATTTTCTTTTTGTTTGACTTCAGCTCTATTGGCGAAAACGCCCTTTATCTTCGATTAATTGCGAAGGAGTTGTCTTCAAAGGAAGAATTTGTCGTGCAAACTCAACTCGAACAAGTTGGAACACCTAGTATATCAAACAGAGTTATTGTTTACGTGATATAACTTTACATCAACAAACAGTTACGTACGGGATGATGCAAAATCTCAGCGAGTTCGATATTACTTTAGACATTCAAATCTGCAATGGCTGCAATGTAACGTGCGAACGGGTAAGGTGCAACCTAGTGGCTACTCGCGACACTATTTGATGTCGCAGTGCCATCTAACGGTAGCATGCGACATTTTAACTATTACACATTTGTCGCTAGATGACATCCTTTCAGCTCAAGTAATTTCGAATGCGACAGCAATAAATTTAACCTCTCGTGAAAAAAATCAATCGGTAGATATTTGTAGTGTAGAGATATTAAAAAAGTTCTTATAGTCACATATTTCATACTATAATATCTGCAGTATCTACATAATGGTACTTTTTTCACAAGTTTTAAATTGTGTCAAAAAGGTAGATACATAGTTGAATTAAATATTGTAAAACATTATTGCATATTTAAGTGACAAGCATTATATTTGACTAACAAAGGGGACTTTTTGCTTGATTGCAGCTATCTAGAAAGTATCAACGCACTAGATTTATCGACACGCTGCGCCTTCATGTTAGAGGTGGAACAGGCGGTGCTGGTTTACCACGCTATGGAGGAATAGGAGGTACAGGAGGTAATGTGTACCTGGTTGCAAAAGATGGGCTGACACTAGAGAACGTTGTCAAGAAATTACAGAGCAAACGAATCAAAGCAGATTCAGGAGGTGACAGTTCAGCAAAGGGAATTATTGGTATACCTGGTGATGATAAGATCATTTCCATTCCATGTGGTGTTTTAGTGTACAATCAGAATGGAGTATTGTTGGGTGAGCAAAATTTATAACGCTTTGCGTTTATATAAATATATTCATCATTTTGTTTATTTTTTACTAAAAATTTAGGAGAGTTAAATACAGAGGACTCAAAACTATTGGTAGCCAAAGGTGGTACAGGAGGCTGTGAAGAAACAGGCTACTGTGGATTGAAGGGGGAATCTCAGACAATAAATTTAGATTTAAAACTAATTGCTGATATTGGGCTAGTTGGTTTTCCTAACGCAGGAAAGAGCACATTCTTAGCAGCAGTTTCAAATGCTAAGCCTAAAATTGCTGATTATCCTTGTAAGATTTTTTTATGCAATTTTATCTTATGAATCTATTTAGTATTGATTTGAAAAAGAAAACCTTTAACAAAAATACTCAATACTGATTTTTATAATTCGTAATACTGTTCACTATGTAATCTAATTCATTGATTTTAATGGTAGTCTTGAAAAAAACATACCCATTAATATAAATCTTTGTTACATTACACTTTTGTTACAGTCACCACTATAAGGCCTAGGCTAGGAGTGATAAACTATAAGGATTACAGGAAAATTACTGTTGCGGACTTACCAGGTTTGATCGAAGGTGCTCATATGAATATCGGGATGGGTCACAAATTCTTGAAACATGTGGAAAGGACAAAGCTACTCTTATTTATTGTAGATATACAGGGTTTTCAATTGTCACCAAAGTATGTGCACAAGTCCTGTTTGGAAACAGTGGTCTTGCTGAACAAGGAGATCGAACTCTACAATCCAGACCTATTAAAAATGCCAGCTGTGATTATAATCAATAAAATGGACACTAATAATGCTGATAATATCCTAAAAGAAATTAAACCGACATTGCACAAGTTATCTGACTATGTAACTAAATGTCCGGAGGAAATGCAGCCTAAGCAAGTGATACATTTCGAAGATATTTTGTCAGTATCTTTAATCTCAAAAAATAAAACTGAGATAGAAAAGCTAAAAGAGAAGATACGAAAGATCTTGGATAAATATGAAGAACGGAAACATATCGCCACTTATGGCGATTCCTTGGATTCTCAATTAATGGAAAAGACAATGCGACAAAGTGTACAGCATACACCGACTGTTGTATAAATTTTTTTAACATATGGAAATGAATGTTTGGGACTGTAAATGTTGATTTTATTTTATAATTAATAACGCCTCAACGACTCAAAATCTAAATTTTTAAAAGTGGAAAAATTTCTAATTGCGACATTTTGCAATAAGTCTGTTTGTTAATTATTCATTAAAACATAAAAACCTACATAAAAGATTAAGATGGAAAAATTGACGTTCAATCAAAACCCCTTTAATGTTACTAATTTACATTTTATGTTCGCCTCTTTTACTCTTTCGATCCAACTTTCCCCAAATGATGCTTTTTTCTCAACAGTTACCATTTCGATTTCGTCCTTGCATCGGATAACTCCTTTATTCGCCATCCATTTCTCCGCACCGTTCCATGCTATCATTACGCCATTGTCGTTGCACAATTCAGGCGGGGTTCTAACGAATGTAAAGCCTCTTTCTGTACAAACAATTTCTAATGCTTTTGCTAAAGCGTTGTTGCACGCTACTCCACCAGATATTACCTGTATTGAGAAATAAATATGTAAAACAAAAAATTTGGAAATTAATAAAAATTTTAAAATCAGAAATAAAACTGAAAATATTAATACCAGAGTTCGCTTTTCACGTGATATCAAATTCAACTTATCAATAAATTCTATTGCTCTCTGTGTTCTAAGACAAATGTGCTTTACAAGACACGTTTGCACCGCTGCGCAGAGATTATACACATCTGGAATTATCGTACTGCCGTCAATATTCAGTTCTTTTTCTTGTTTGTTAATGTATTTTAAACTTTTGCTTCGTAAACCCGCAAAACTAAATTGGCAGTCTCTCCTTCTTGTCAAGATTGCTTCATAAGTGAATTTAGTCGGATTAGTCGCCTTCCTCGCTGCGTTCTCTATTGCTTGCCCACCACTCATATGTGAAAACTCTGGTATATTTGCAAGTTTGAGTCTGCGAGCAAGCTACAATCGTTATTGTTTATAAATTTTTGACACATTATATATAAATAACAATTTGCAAGTGTACCTTATCTAGAACTTCTCCAGGTGCATTATCTGTCGTAGTACCTAGCATATAAAATTTATCCACATCTTCAACAATAGCCAATAAACTGTGGCCGCCTGATACTAACAAAACGAGATAGGGAAAGTCTACCTATAAAATATATATTAATAATTTGTGTTACATACATGTGTCATATATAAATTGTTCCAACATACTTTTCGGACCATTCGTACAGTTAATGCATGAGCTTCCATATGATGTATCGGTATATATGGTTTATTGCCAATTCTAGAGAGATACTTGCCAAAGGTATTTCCAATGGCAAGTGACAAGGGAAGACCTGGTTTAATTGTGGTTGCAATAACATCTATATCTCTTAACCTTAAATGCGCTGATCTCAACGCATCCTCACAGACTTCAGTAATATGCTGCCTGTGCATTTCATGAGCAATTGTAGGAATTATGCCGCCATGTCTAAAAATAAATAGAAATACAAATTGCAAACAAATTGTCAATACTTTTAAAATAGGTGGCACAAGTCACGTTAAAAATAATGCAAATAAAATCTAAATTTTTGTGTAAATCTTTTCAATAACATATAGAGCCAAGTTTATATTTTGATCAATAAATAGGAAAAATCTTGTTTAATAAAAAAAATGTTGCGTTTAATTGTAAACTAAATTCATATATCAAGTTTATGTTGATTAATAAACTCAAAATATACGCAGTAATATAAATATAGCAACAATCGCAATTACTTTAAATGAGTGAGATGCTGAGAGTTTAATGCTTCGCCTAATATTTTTCCTGTAGTATTTATTATTCCACATCCTGTGTCGTCACAACTCGTTTCGATTCCTAAAATAATTGCTGGCTTGTCGTCCGCAAACTTTCGCACTACATTTAATGTCAGACTAGATGCATATAGAAATTTGAACCGTTTTAATTGACAAAACCTTAATGACGTTTTGTACAAAGAGTGCGCACATTTAGCCATTACATATTAGAAAAACAAACTGTTATATAGATTAACAAATACATAATCATAGAAATCATAGAAATTAAACACATTTATAGAATGATAAATACGAATGAAAAGACCTAACCTAACCTCATAATTGATTGAACAAACGGTTAAGCCGAGAGCACAAGCTTTTACATAAAGCATAACGCATAAGCATAAAGGAAGTTGATTGGTCTATATATAAG